CTTTCATGTAACTTGCCAAGAAATTTTGAAACACTTCTACATAGCCTGCGCCTGAATGCCACACACACAAACATTCAAAGGCATAAATTCGGTCTCGTCACCAGCCTTAACTGTCAGCATTGCGGCGTGCCTGAGGACAACTGTCGTATCTTTTGTGAATGTGAGCTTTTCGATGAAGACAGGCAGATATTGATAAATAATATTCAAGAATTAGACAGCAAGTCCTTTAGCTTAGAGAGGGTCTTGGGTTCGTGGGACCCTCCGCGTCTTCAACAACAGGCTATAGCTGCATTCAAAATATTTCTTCAAAATACAGGGCTAATTGATAGTCTACAATACTATTTCCATTGTAAATACAGACTCTCGTGTTCGTAACTATCGATACGCGACAGACTGAACGTAGACTGCGATGACTGTATTACACTAAACTCAAGTGTGCTGAGTGAATAACTCTCCAGTGCCGTGCGTCATCAAGAGCTACATCCAGAGTCGTACTTCATTGAGTGCTCCCTCCAGAACTAAAACTCTCTCTCCCCTTTTCTTCACACTTCCCTCTCCCAAAGCAAAGTAGCCAGCCCCGAAAGTTTCAGGGCTAACCTCTTTGTTTTTCTTTTCGTTATTAAAAAAAAAGGCTAGCTGAACTAGAAAAAAACATACACATAAAGAAAAGACCATCAAAAATCAAATTTGCTGTTAATTGTTTATACAGCAGGAGGTTAGTCTGACAGAACATGGCGACATTGTTACCCACTGTAAATAAGCAATTTGGAGTCTTTAACGTGCACCACGCAGTAGTGATACAGGACTGCACACGGCACGATACTCATTCAGATCGAAACGGGCAGGGTCGGGAAAGACCATACGCACCTCTGGACTAACAACTAATTTTCTTAATCCTCCTTATTATACTACGAGCCCTACTTGAGGAAAATATTATCTTTTCCGCTTTTTTTGCTTCCTAATTCACCGGAAATTTTACCCCCAAAGAAATATTTTTTTTCTTTCTTGTACAGCACGAGAGAAGGTGCACTAATGCAGTCATCGTTTTTTTCCTTAATGGCAAAGGCCTCTAGGATTTCACGTCCCAGTTTTGTCTTGTTCCTTGCCACGATGTTCATGTCGTAGAACCGTGCTGAACATTGACACGCACGACAATGGGTTGGCAAATGTCCTCCTTCTGTCAGGGTTTTCATTGATGCAGAGTGCTCCCTCGTCCGATCGTTAAAGGGGCCCTGCAAGAACTTTTTACTGTTTTTTAATTTGCACCGAACCTGAGCGCACTGAACGTAGTAACTTAGTGAAACTTTTCTTTTCGCGAAATTCGCTTTATTTTAAAAGTTATAGGCAATTTAGAATTACAAAAACAAGCAAAAAATAACCTCCTTCATGACGTCGTAGGTCCTGGCTTGAGTGGCCGTGAACTAGAGGAGGTATAGTGAGCTCATCGAGCGCTCACGGCCGCCGCACACCGTGTCGACGGCGCGAGAGGGCGTCACTAAAGCATGTTCTGGATAGGCTGTATGCAGCGGGCAGCCAAAGCGGCTTTAATTGCATTTGCTGCGTGATTGAACACTAATTCGGCATGACACTTCATTGGCCACGAACGACAGCAAACACGGGTACAGATCAGGTCAGATTGGGAGCCACTTCGCGCTGCCATACCGCGAAACGGCCATACCGCAAGACAAAGCCTCTCGCCGAAGGCCTTCGAAACGCTCGGAGCCGGTCGGATCCTCCTGTCCATACGACTGCAGTGCCACCGCGTACATCCGGGATTTTTCCGTGTCGGCGCCTTATCCCACTACTCCTTTCTAGTATGCGCCGCCTTTTCCACCGCTTGGCGGCGGGTATGTTGACGGGTCATTCCTTGTTTCCGTACTTTATAAACTGCATTTCTTTCTTTTTTTCATATATAATAGTGAACAAAAACTACTTTTATAAATAATTGAAACGGTTCGCGCCTCTTATATTTTGTATTTCGACCAAAAAGAAGTTTTTAGAGGCTCTGACCAGTAGTAAGCCCAGGACCAAAGACGTCACATTTTGCGCGCTTTCGGTACCGCGGGTCGCCCTCGTCGGTGGAGGAGGTTTCCGCGTCGTCCGGTTAAAATATGACGCACTGATATTTAGTTACTCTCTCCGTGCCCGCTGGCTTGCCCGAGCCCCAAGAGACGTGGAAACCGCATAAAAGGTAGACGCTTAAATATGATTGCAGGGCCCCTTTAATGCATCGGCCACTTTGTCCGATGTAACTTCGGCCGCATGTCAACGGAATGTGGTACACAACCTCCTTTTCACACAGGGCGTATGGAGGCTTGTGAACTGTGCCACACGTCTTCTCGTTGTTACTTCGCCCTGGTTAACCCTGCGACACATGGAATAGGCCTTGTTTGGAGCCGAACACACCACCTGAACGCCTTGCCGTTCAGCAACTTTTTTAAACTTGTGGGTCATCCCGTGAACATAGGGCGCTACCACCACCGCATGTCGAATCTTTTCCTTTGTGGTTTTATCCGTGCACCCAAATCCATGCTTGATGGTCCTGCAGACCTGCTCGCAGATCGCTACCAGGAGCGATTTTAGGTAACCAGGAGCCCTATGTTGCGCTTTTTGGGCTTCCATGGCGACTAGGGAGAGGGAGTGACGTAGTGATGTAAGTGTGGATGAACGTATCTTAGCAACACCGCGTACTATTCGGCATACCGATTTCCGCTCACTTTTTTTTTTCTTCTACAGAAATTTGTCTTCAGCGACTCCACCAATCAACATCCAAAGAGCGTTGTTGACGTCACTTCCCTTTACCTGGCGGCCCTGGGAGTCCAAAAAGTGCAACATAGGGCCCCAGCTTCCTGCAATCTCGAGACCTGAGTTTTAAAATTTCGCTCGACTTGATGGTGACAGGTCTTCTTTAGGGCAAATACAAGGGTTGTTGTGGCGACCCCTCGTCTTACATTCTTAAAGTGTCCCGGGTCAAAAAGTAGAAAGCCTTTGCATGCCCTGCTGGCTTAATTGGTCTCTCCAGCAAACGTGCTTACCTTTGAATTCCAATGCCAGGTCCAGGAATCTGATGGAATAATTCACAGGGAATTCATGGGTGAATTTGATCCCCAAGCAGCTCTGTTCAAAGCATCGCATCACTGTGCTTTGGTACCTGTCCATTTTGTTATCTACCTTTGTGTTGCATAGAATTTAAAAAAAAAAAATCATCGACGTACCTGAAGATGTCTTCAATCCTTGTATCCTTCAATCTTTCTTGAATGACACTTAGGCAAGCCGCGAGGAAAACATCGCTGAGGTACGGAGCCACGCGTCATCCAGTGCACACTCCACTCCTTTGTACATATAAAGAATTCTCGTAGCGTGTGTCTGGCAAGGACCAATTCCCACCAGCGTGTGTCAGGCAAGGCCCTTCGTATATTGCATCCGTAACAAGCTGACTGTATCAGTGCACCATTTTTGAACCTGACAGAAAAAAAAAATTCTAGGCGTCTAGGAGATTGGTGCACGTGATTCAGGAAATTCGGTAGTTCCAAACGTAGAAGACATAGTATATAAAAACGAGTTGTCACAGTCAGCGCGGTTCTATTGAACTTTTCCTATCTTGTTCGTGTGTAAGGAGTGAGTGTGTCTTAGAATGGATGCTTGGGCGAGTTGGGTATTCATATTGTAGGATCGAGAAGCGCTACGGTGTGAGTGTGAGTGTGAGTTTGAGGGTGAGGGAATCTACTTAGCGCTTCTCCTACAATAAGAGTGAGTGTACTTTTGCAGTAGTGCTAAACTGTAGTAGTGCGCTGTATTGTGTGTTAATAAGAGCAGATAGTTCTGCGCCGCCGCGGATGGCGCTGAGGTATGAGGTCCATCCTCAGCGGCCACGGTGTCGATGGCGCGGCGTGCTCGCCTTTTTCGCGGTGTGGTGGTGAGGTGGTGGTGTGCGGCCAGTGGCTGGCCTCGTGTCTTTCTTTGGTGCTGTGTCGATCACTGGTGCCACCATCGTGCAAAAAAGTGAGCCTTTACCCGAAGAAGAAGAAGAATAAGGAAGAGAACACGGATTTACGGACTCTGGCGACTTGGTGGCGGCGTGGCGGTGGTGAGGTACAACAAGAAGCGGTGCGCGAGGGAATGCAGGACCACTGCTGAGAGAAACAACCGGAGCGGTCGGTTTCGGAGGGATCTCACACTTGTGCGCCATCTATCTCCGTGTGAGTTAAGCGCGCGTGGTGCGCCAAACATAATGTGGCCGCCACGTCGTACAGAGAGTTATCACGTAAATATGTTCCTTCCACCGTTGCTTACGCCTAAGGTGCCTACGACATTGAGGCACTCATCTTGGGCCCTTCCTCAGCGCTTTTGAATGAGTGGAACGTAAAAAGAAAGTTACCAGATGAGGACTGAATGCAGATGACTGATTTGTTTCAATGCCTAATATATTGAAGGGCCTTATGAGGAGCATGTATTTCTGGTCAAATGGCGGCCGTATTTTTTCCTGGAACATGAGCCTCAAGTGCCAAGCTGTTCAAGATTTATAGTTCAAGAGACTGACATCGCGGTGAATCAATTACACGTCAACAACTTAAACTTTGAGTTTTCTTTTTTTTTCTCTTTTTAGTTTAGCGGTTTTGCCGATTTCTCACTTTTGACTTTCACTTTTTTTCTAATTTAACCGCAAACTTAAACCACGCTCCCTCTGCCAGGAGGATCGTTGCTGCTTACGAGAACATCTGGCACTTACCAAAAAGAGGATCTAAAGCAAAAATAGAAGAAGAAAAAGAACTTCAGAAAGCGACAGCTGAGTTGCTGTTTCAGGCTCTCTGTCCCACGGAGTTTTGACGCAACCAGATGCACGCTCGTTTTCGGTGAAAGTCTTCGGAGTCATTCAGATGTCCTGCAACCAGAAAGATCACCGTGCTGAAGGATCCCCGTCATTGCAAAGATTGGCTACCAAGGTCTGACGGTTCCTGCATTGCTTGGTGTCTCTGGAGGATAGCTTTTGAAACTCCTGGATGGCATCATGGGTAAGTCGCTCAATTGAGACGCCCGGTTTGAGTCGCAGGAACTAGACTCATTGAGCAAGCTACGCTAAAGGTAGCTTATTTGGAGGTTCTAGTTGGGACCATAAAGGACCGGTTCCTGGGGGTTATTATTACTTATTGCCAGCTTTAAAGTATCGTTTGTATTCACTGAACGCCATATTTGAAGCGACTGCTTACAACGCATGCTCGGGATGAGTTTTTAGTTATCTCTCAAAGAAGAGAATCTTGACGGTGTGCAATGTGCGCGTTAGAAGCGTTGAAGAAGCCTTCCGTCACCACGTGCTCAGCTGCAGTGAGCTCAGCTTTGGCCGCTAGTGAATACATCCTGTAAATCCGGTGATCTAATACCCTAGTTACATTAGCGCTCTTAACTGGCATTATGCCAATGACAGTTGATTCAATCGCGATCGGCCGGAGTTACACGGCGGCTCCAACTCTCATCAAAACGCTAACGATCATTGAGTTCAACTGAGCTGGCCTACCTCGGTTATGCTCTATTACACCTTATAATGTAGCGCAGAAAAAGTGACAAGCGCGAGCTCCTTGCTCTATGGCATATCTCGGCGGCCAAAGCTTTGAGCTCGCGCATCCAGCCTCCGCTGCTGTACAACATAAGGTGAAACTGGTGTCACTAAATAGAGAGTTTTAGTAAATCGTGTTTTCAAGCCACGCTAATCGTAGGGGGAGCTCGCGCTGCCACTTCGATGCGTGCTCTGAAGCGCGCGCTCGTAGCGGTAGCGGGCTTTTGAAAACGATCTACTAAAACTCCCTACTAAGCTATACGCTTCAGAGTAACAACACTTGCCCATTGAATTGGATTGGATTGGAGTCTGCGGCTCTCCCCTTTGTATCGGGTGATCAACAGTAATGGATACTGGATCTAGCCTAGTCAGTCGTGCCTCCCGCGACTTCCGCTTCCGCTTGGTGTTCCGTTGGTCGGTTGCACTCCCTCTGCTGATGCGTCTCTCTCCACCAGACTTTTAAGCCCATATTGTGGCTTAAAATCATGGTTGCCAGTTATCTTAAGCTTTATCTGAAATCACAGGAAACAGTTTTCCGCCATTGAGAAATGTTTACACAGTTCGTGACAGAACAAAGCAATATTACATGAGCTTACTAACATTGCATCTAATGCTGTGGAAGTTGCACTTTTGAATCATGACGATCGGCAGTTGCGTCTGCTCTGCATACGCACCAAAATGGCGGCGGCCACAACAATGTCGGGGAACAGGGTGCCGATACCCTAAGCGGAGCTCATTTACTGACTCTAGGTGAAACGAAGTAACACTGATGGGGTTTCGCTCCAAAAGAGCTAAAGATGGCGGCGTCCGCCGCCTCACCGCCCATGGCCAGCGCTAGCGAAGCACTTATTATTGCGGAATATTGGGGAAGGTGTCTAAAAAGTATCGCAGCAGAAAATATTGTCCAAACAGGTATGATTCGGCGCCAGAGTTGCAGCTACAATGATCACGGCACGTCGCAGAAGCCAAGGCTTTGCGAAGGCAGCCCTTCGCAAAGCGGCGTCGTCGATGTCGGCGTCGATAAGACTTTCCTTGTGTCTCTCTTGCTTAAATTCGTGTGAAACGTTCCGATTGTCGTTTCTTTACTCTAAAAACAAAAAAGAATGTTAATTTTATTTTGTTTTAAGTCTTTTTGATGAATGAAAAGTGCGCATATAATTAATTTGCATTGCTATTTAATATATATATTTATATATATATATATATATATACGTCTCAACACTTGGTGGAGGTGCGCTAGCGATCCCCAACCTGATCATCTGGTAATTCCGACCTGGAGCTGCGCAGCGGACGGTCGACTGTCACAACCATGAACGACGATAACGGGAATGTAAGAGACCAGCGCCCCACCAACACTTCAACGGTCAAAACTCGCCAACGTGACCCCCAGGATTTCACCGGTTCAGCCGACGCTGACGTTCTGGACTGGCTCAAAAATTACGACCGGGTGAGCCAACACAACCGTTGGGACGACACCATCAAACTCGCCAACGTCGTATTTTTCCTCAAAGGGACTGCACTCCAATGGTACGACAATCACGAGGAAGAAATTAATTCATGGGATGCGTTCAAAACCGCCTTCGCAGACGTCTTCGGTACACCTGAACGCAGAAGACAACAAGCGCGGGACAAACTCTCCAGGAGGTACCAAGCCCCCTCCGAAACATCGGCGTCCTACATCGAGGACGTCCTTCGCCTCTGCGGACGTGTCAACGCAGCTATGCCGGAGGACGAAAAAATCAAGCACCTCTTCAAAGGATTATCCCAAGAGCTGTTTTCCATCGTCGCACCCAGGTCACCTCAGACCGTGCAGCAGCTCATTGCAGAATGCAAGCATTATGAAGACCTTCAAAGTGGTCGGATCTCCAACACCGGATTTGAACGGCTCCCTGAAGTTTCAACTACAACTGCCGACACTGACCTCCCCAATCTCATCAGGCGAATAATTCGAGACGAACTACGCGACTCCTTGGGATCCCTGCGCCTCTCAGCCAGTTCTTCAATCTCGCAACCCGAGGCGCCTCAGATTGAACAGGTAATCAAAGACGAACTTCGTGCTGCCCTTCGTCCTATTTCTTCGTCGTCTCCCACATGCATGGCACCATCGACTTCCTCACCACCCATCTGCTTTTTACAGCACTCAGCACCACACATTTGCGCTCTGCAAACTTCTCACAACGTCTCAATTCCATCCACACGCTACCCATCACCCCGGCGGACAGAGGAATGGCGCACTCAAGATCAACGTCCGATATGCTTCTACTGTCACGCCCCAGGTCATATCATCCGCTACTGCCGACGCCGCATGAATGCTGAAGCCTACAGTCGCACCCCACAGAATCAAACTCGACATTCTGACGACCACGACACGCGCCGAAATTTCGACAACCACGGCAGTTCCAATGACCGCCGCAATTTTGACGACCATCGCAACACACGTCCCTTTCCAGCTGCTGAATTCCGACGTGGTCGATCACCCTCCCCTTGTCCTCGACGAAACCGCTCCTTCTCGCCGTTCACTGACGCTACTACCGGACTTCCGTCGTCAAACTAAGCAGCGCAGCCTGTCTTAACAATGGAGGTCAGGCTGCACTACCGTCCCCGGTCCTAAATCCTCCTTACCTTGGCTCTACAACTATTACCGTCTACATTGGAGAAGAAAAACTTTTAGCATTCGTTGACACAGGTGCTGCAAAATCCTGCATTTCTAATCAGCTTTGCCGCCGTTTACACAAAGTGCTCACCCCTCCACCCGCTGGACATTTTCTACGGATGGGAAACAGTGAACTTGTGCAACCTCTTGGCTACTGCACCATCCCTATTTCTATCGGAGGCACTTCCTATATCATTTTGTTTACTGTACTTGCTAATTGTGTCGTTGACGTCATTTTGGGATGGGATTTTTTGTCGGCCACCGAGGCATTCATTGACTGCGCCAGCCGCGAACTTCATTTGAGCACTCGGCAGACTAGTTACGACGTGTACGAAAATTCACCCATTTCGCTTCACACCGACGACGATTACCTCTTGCCCCCCCTTTCCGCTATTGCTATCACCCTCCTGCCGGACCCTCCATTCGAAAGCACCACTGGTTTCATTGAACCCATCGCAAACTTTGTCGCAAAAAAGCCAGTTATTCTTCCCTACTGCATCGCCACGACAACTCAAGGACAAGTTTCTCTTTTCGTCACCAACACATCTACTGAGTCGCAAATAGTTCCCCGTGGTGCACGTTTGGCCACTCTAACATCTCATTCTTATACCACGCTTGCAACGCTCTCCGAACTTACATCTACGAGGCTACCGTCAGCTGCCCAAAGCACCGCCGCACAAGTTGCTAAAATGGTAGACTCTAGCTTGCCTCCTCACCAGAAGGAAGCCCTAACAAAGCTTCTTGTTTCGTATGAACAACTCTTCGATTTTAATAGCCGTTCTCTAGCTCAAACTTCGGTAGTCTCTCATCACATTGACACCGGCACAGCATCTCCCATTCGAAGCCGCCCTTATAGAATTTCACCCACCGAACGTAAGGCCGTCGACGATCACGTCAGAGATATGCTCCAAAGAAACATAATCGAGCCTTCATCCGGCCCATGGTCGGCCCCTGTTGTTCTCACAAAGAAAAAAGACGGATCATGATGATTTTGTGTAGATTACCGTCGACTTAACAAGATCACCACTAAAGACGTCTATCCCTTACCTAGAATCGACGACACCCTCGACACTCTTCAGGGATCATCATTTTTTTCTTCCATGGACCTTAGAAGCGGTTATTGGCTGATACCCATGGCCGACGCCGACAAGCCAAAAACTGCTTTCGTTACACCCTCCGGCCTATACCAGTTTAATGTCATGCCGTTTGGCCTGTCCAATGCGCCTGCCACATTCGAACGCATGATGGACACTGTGCTACGGGGTCTCACGTGGAGAACCTGCCTTTGTTACCTCGACGACGTAATTGTTTTCTCCGCCTCATTCAACGAGCACTTGCACAGGCTAGAAGTGCTGAATTGCTTTCTCACCGCCAATTTGCAACTAAACACAAAAAAATGTATCTTTGCAGCTCGCCAAATTCAGGTCCTCGGTCATATCATTAGTGCAGATGGCATTCGCCCTGACCCATCTAAATTACAAGCTGTTTCTGAATTTCCATCTCCGAAAAATTTAAAAGACCTTCGGTCCTTTCTCGGCCTTTGCACATACTTCAGAAAATTTATACCCGGATTCTCCCACATCGCTGAACCTCTCAACACGCTACTTCGTAACAACACCGCTTTCCAATGGAATCGCCCTCAAAGCAATGCTTTTCAAGCCCTGAAAACCGCCCTAACCACTGTCCCAGTGCTCAATCACTTCGTTCCTGGCTCTGACACTGAGATACGTACAGACGCCAGTGGCCATGGCCTCGGCGCCGTACTGGCCCAGAACATTTCCGGTGTCCAGAGAGTAATCGCCTACGCCAGCCGCACATTAACGAAAAGTGAATGTAACTATACCGTAACCGAACGCGAGTGCTTGGCCGTTGTGTGAGCGATCTCGAAGTTCCGTCCCTACCTATACGGCACACACTTCACTATTGTAACCGATCATCACGCCCTATGCTGGTTAACCACCCTAAAAGACCCTTCAGGAAGACTCGGATGTTGGTCCCTGAAACTCCAAGACTATAACTACACGATTCATTACAAATCTGGAAAACGACACCTTGATGCTGACAGCCTTTCTAGATGCCCCCTTCCCCATGGGTCGCAATGTTCGAACTCCTCCGCCCACGAAGACGCAACTGCTGTCCTGAGCTCCGTCAACATTGCAGAAGAGCAACGGTTCGATTCTTTATTGCACCCCATTATTCAATGCCTTGATGGTGCTTTGCCGCATCCTTCTGTGCAAATTCAGCGCCGTGCCCGTCTTTCTCAACTCAGAGACGGCATTCTTTATAGGCGAAACTACGACACACAACAAGGACGGCCATTGCTTTTAGTGATTCCCCGCCGACTACAAAAGGATCTTATCCAAGTAAACCATGACGACCCTACAGCTGGCCACCTTGGATTTTCTAAAACTTACTTTCGCATCCGAGGCAGTTACTTTTGGACAGGCATGACCCGCAGCATCAGCAAGTACGTTCGAGCGTGCCACCACTGCCAGACCAAGAAACGTCCTACCACAAAGCCTCCAGGTTGCCTACAACCCCTTCCCCAACCGCACCGCCCATTTGAACGCATCGGAATTGACTTCCTTGGCCCCTTTCCCCAATCCACTCGCAACAACAAGTGGATACTTGTTGCAATTGACCATTTAACACGCTACGTCGAGACGGCCTCCGTTCCCGCCGATACCGCCCACGAAGTCGCAAACATTTTTATGCACTCGATACTGCTGCGCCATGGAGCTCCACAATACATAATCACCGATCGAGGCACTCCCTTTCTATCCAACGTTCTCGAAGATGTCCTCCACCTTTCTTCGACTGTTCACAGCGTTACAACAGCCTACCACCCACAAACAAATGGATTAACAGAGCGCTTCAACCATACTATCGCTGACATGGTTTCAATGTATACGTAGCCGATCATCACGACAATTGGGACATCATCCTCCCCTACGTAACCTACGCATACAATACTGCACGACAATCTACCACGGGACACTCTCCCTACTACTTGCTCTATGCATCCGAACCCCTAACACCCCTTGACACGATATTACCCTACCAACCTGACAACTTCATGCAACCCTACGCAGAGGAGATTGTCTCCAGAGCAGAAGACGCCCGTCAGCTTGCCCGCACCCGCACCCTTAAATCCCAGCAACAACAAAAACTGCGCTATGACGACCGCCACCTCCCCACTGCCTATAACATAGGTGGCGAAGTCCTCTTGTGGTCTCCCCGGCGAGCACCGGGCAAGTGCGAGAAGTTTCTCAAACAGTTTGTTGGCCCTTTTCGTGTCATCCGACAGCTTTCCCCAACCAATTATGAAGTCGAGCCCGTTACGCCGCACCGCGACCTTCGCTCCAAGTCCTCCGACGGGGTACACATCAGCCGCATGAAGCCCTATTACCGCCAAGACTCATAATCTAAACGCGCCGGATGACCGGCGCTTACAACACCGGGGGGATATTGTAAGGAAGAATAAGTGGCACGGACAGACAGGCAGGGGTTTGACCAAGCGCGCGCTCGGCACAGGCGCTTCTTGAATGCTGTACCGCCATTCATACTGGTCGCTTTTTCCTCCTATCTTCTATTAAATCTCTTTTATCAACGTCTCAACAATATATAGGGTGGCTCAAGTCACCAGGCTCGATCTAAAATGGACCGTAAAAATCGACGCCTGCACGTAGCAATCTAAACTTTTTGTCAAAGGTGTATTTCACAGGTCGGTTTTTTCTTGTAAAATTACAAAGCGTAGTTCTCTTTCTGTAAAAAATAAGGCCAAGAAACTTGCCTGGGTCAACGGCGGGCAGCAACGCAGACGACAAGTAGTGGGGTGTGTTTGGCGTTCGTATTGATAGATGGCGCTACCTCCTAATCGCGAAGGCTCGCGACCACCGTGGTTTATTAAAATGAATATAATCTTTTTTGAATATACCTTCGGTTAAAAAATGAATGCGAACAATAAAAGCAAAACTTAAAGTAAAAAACGCGTCTGCATAACGGCGGCGCTTTTGCTGCCAACGGATTTCGTCTGCGTGTCGACTGCTATCTTTGGCTGGTCGGCTGCACCTTCAGACGTTGCTCCCGGCGCCATCGATCAATACGAACGGCAAACAAAGCTCGCTACTGGACTTGGTCGTCTGGGTCACCGCCCGCCGTAGACCCTGGCAAGTTTCGTGGCCCTATTTTTTACTAAAAGAGAACTACGCTCTGTAATTTTACGAGAAGAAACCGACCTGTGAAATACACCTTTGACGAAAATTTTAAACGGCTTCGTGCAGGCGTCGATTTTTACGGCCCATTTTATATCGAGCCTGGTGACTTGAGCCACCCTATATATATATAAAGTGACATCAGTTATTTCTTTGTTTCGAGTTCTAACTCTGTCCCTTGACGTCCATCTCAACTGGGGTTGTTAGGCCTGTGTACCGTGTAAAACCGGATAACTTATTTTAGCTTAATCACTGTTGAGAGATGTCAATGATCGTTGGCTTATGAGAGTTGAGAGCGCTAGTGTAACTTGGTTATAAGAATAACATGTTAAAGGTACTGGTCACCCCAAGCAGGCCAAATCCAGAACGCTTGGGTACCTCCAAGTAGGCCATTTACGATAAAACCAGCTGACATTATTAGGTGGTATCTGCGTTTCTAGGTTTGGTCCAGAAACCAAATCTACCAAATTTTGGAAACGACCGGTGGTATTTCCTGGATTTCATATTTGAGCCTGTTTAGCAGAGCGCATACTCGCGAAGGGCTTCCACCTGTCGTCTTTCAAAAACTACGGTCTTGGTGATGTGAAATATTGTGAAATCTCGCTATCAGATCGCGTTCGACAGCGGCGAACTCAGTTACGGTGGTGGCTGAAAATACCACAGAATTTAAACAATTTTGATTGGCATGGAAAGTCGATATATAATAGGTAATAGATAGTTTAACCGAAGTTTGCGAGTGCCCCTTGAAAAGATCTAGCGGGGAAACCAATTCAGTTTCCCCGTTAGATCTGGAGGGAAAACACGTCACGACCTTTCTGCCGCTGTCTAAACGCATCACGTCATGGGATCGTCGCGTGATTTTTTCGCTCTAGTTGAACTCGGGGCGCGAAAAATAAAGTGAAAAAAGCTGGCAATCCCCAGTTCGCTTGAAGTGCGCCGCACTCTGTAATATGCACGACGATGACAGCGAGTGCTTTGAACTGTACCTCCAGACGACAAATGGACTCAGATCATATTCGTGGTCGCGATCACCGCTGCGACTTTGGTGTACAATCACCAGCGGAAGACCATATACCACTACGAGCCTCCAGCTGAAGAAAGAATACCCTGTGCAACCATACCGTCAAGTAAGGATTCGCTGATGCAATTCTCAATCCGCGTTCGCAAACATCGCTCACCGTCTACCATGTACGTACATTCTAAGAAAACTGGACCATCTACTTTTCCGCAGAGCAGTCGGGAGAGTCAATGGCTGCCATGTACGAAGGGATTTCGGTGAATGACGAGGCTGATAACATATTTAGACATAAAATAAATCTGCGCTGTGGCAAAGAGCATGCTGAGGTGTCATGCTCAGTGTCGCAGCGTTGAGAGATTTTCTTGGTATAGACATAACAGTCTCGTCTGATTCGCCAAGATTTCTCTTTGGATAGAAACAATTGGCTCTCATAATAGTTTTGCGGTAGTTTATTTTGATTTCTTTGACTGCAGGTATCAAGTATTTGGGGAAAAGTCCATGACCCTATACCGAACATGAACACGACGTCTGCATTTTCTTTTTTTTGCGCGTGCTTTACGATGTCGGGTAATAACAAACTTCAAAGTGTTGTTCTCTAAGCTTGTGCTCTGAATGAGGAGATTTCACCGCAACAGTAGTTCTGGTGACAACGGTACACTCCGGAGCCACAACGATGGCCCAACAACCGTAAATCACTTGTTCCAGCTAATGGTGTCGCGCCGACTGAAAATTATTTATGTTTTGCCTCACGAGATGGCGCGGATCTCTTGTTGTTCTAGATGTTCTCGAATAATACGGGATTAGTGAGCCGTTTCGAATTTGAGGTAATTTTGTTACAGGCGCCACCAGATAAAAAGAAAAATTAAAAAAAAATATTAAATGTCAATTTATTTTGAAGCAGGAAATAAGAATAAATCGGGTTAAGTTCCCTGTTACTTAAGCGTTTTATTGCTCTCGGTGCTTCTTTAAGTAATCCATGAGTTGGACGTATGCACATTCTTTAACGCTATATAACGCAGGATGTCTCAAGAACTTACAAATTTTTCTTCCTGTGTAAAATTTGACCTTTAGCTTTTTATTTATAGAAACACAAGTTGACATATGCCTCAAAAGAAATCTCTTTCTTCGCATATGGATTACAAGCTATTTTTCATTTCACCTATGCATTTTAGATGATGTCCTTCCTTCGCATATGGATTATAAGATTTTTTTTATTTCACATATTTCTTATGAGAAATTCGTCACGTCACATGTCTCATAATTGTTGTACTAAATTCTTATATGACCTATAGGCAGCTGTTGCAAGATAATTGTGCTTCTTGTATGGTTCTCATATCACTTCGGCGTTTGTTTTAATATAAATCACGTATGTTCTTGTAAGTTATTGTATTCCTCATGTGCTCTTTTTTTTTTACAAAAGTCACCATTTTTTGAAGGGATACACGGGCGGTCCTAACTAAGTATCGAACAGCATCTCAACCCAGTGACGGGGGAGGTCAGTGGTCGTGCACAGTGGTCAAGTTCCGCACAAGCCCCATGGTCTATAGGTACAAAACATAGAGCCGGCTGAACGCGTGCTGAAACGCGAGAGTTCAATGATATGACACTCGAGTGTGCGTATCTCGTAATATCCGAATGGCTCTTCACATGGTGGATTTTCGTGCGAAAGCATTAACTGTCCCATAGAGCGAGGCCTGCGTTATCTGTCCAGCGACGAAGGCACTTAAATTCCCATTGGCTGCGACGCATCATGTCAAATACTTCGTCACGGAAGCCGGCAGGGCGCTAAAGGTTCAAGCGGACGCGCCTCAGAAATAAAACAAAGAAAAGCACAGCAACGCAGATGCCTCGTCACGGAAGCCGCGAAGCAGGCGAGTGCGCCGCGAAGCAGGCGAGTGCGCCGCGCCTGCGCATTGGGGAAGCAAGATGTCACCGCCGGCGCTCTGTGTGAAAGAGGAAGACGTGGCGCGCTGCTTGTAGAAGTGCCCTGCGTGTATAAATGCTTTCGCATTCCTACACGTTAGCAGTCTTAAGTGTCTCTGTCGAATATTTTTGTTTTTCTCAGAGAAATTGCTTCTAGAAAGTTGCAGAGGTATCGCCATCCCCATTATCATCATCATCATTATAAACATTATCATCAGTCAATGACGTGAAAGTTCATGCAAGTTTTCGTCCACTTTCTTGTAAGGAAATTGCTCCATGTGTGACTGACGTGCATCTACTTCCACCGACTCGCCTTCCCATCACGCGTCGTTGTATTCTGAACAATTATGTTAGCCGAGGAGTCTCCCATGGCTTTGGTGAATAACGGAAATGTCGATTAACTGATTGCGTTGTTTTTGTTGTTTTCCCCAACAACCATGTACTTATTTATATGTTTCTGTTTGTTTGTGTTAATGTTTCGACGATTACGCGTCTTCATGTTGTTTTCTCTGCAGCTGTGGGTGAGCCAGATACTTGTCAAGTAGCGTCATGGTGCTCATTTTCCTCTGTCTTTAACTCTCAAAAAGGAAAAAAAAAGTATTTTGAATACGAGTTTAAAGCCTGGACCCTTGTTCAGTTTCCAAAGTAAAACGAAGTTATTTTAACCTAACATTTTTTTTATAATTTTTGTTTTATTTCGTGTGGTCTTTCAAGACTTTGCCACATAACCTCTGCGCGCTCTCTTCCAGTGATGGAGCGTAAAGAGGACTGCGAGAGCGCTCTCTGCCTCTGGCGGGAATCGGAGGGCCATCTTCCGAAGTGCTTCCAGCCCAAGGACGCCTACGGCTACTCTATCAGCGGCCTCGATTCGCCGATCAACGCCACCCACGTGGCCTTCAACCTCAGCCACGAGAAGAGCTCCTACAGCCCGTTCCCAGAGAGCGCCATCGACGTGGTCCGATTCCAACTCATCAAGTACAACGATTACATCGTCCGCTTCAAGGTGGCCGCACTCCCGATTTTGACATCTGGGTAGAGACTATATAGGGTGCTTGAAATATGTCTCTGACTGGTGTGTCCACCACGTTCTCAAGCATGGTCCCTCGACTTCTTGTAAAGAAGTGTCACGCTGCCGCCTGCCGCGATATTTGTAATGCCATAGCGGCGGAGGTTAATGCGGCAGACGCCTGTTCTGCTGCAGGTCGCAATCCAGGGTTCAAGGAAGCTTCAGCAGTCAGGAATTGGGGCACTGCGAAGACCGCGACACTTGCGTTCGCTCGTCCTCTTTGTCGGAGCCTCTGCGACCAACCGCCAACATCCCGACATCCAACAGCGCGACATGCCGATTCGCGCGACCTCGTTTGTTTCCACTGCGGAATCACTTTAGCCCTAAGTGTGGTATAGGATGCTAAACACACCGGTCGAATCGCGTTCCATGGTACTGTAGTAAAGATTAAGGTCAACTTGCCCGAAATTAAATTAGTCAGCCTTATCTAGAGTGTGTCTAGAGAATTCACCGTCAAGAATCGGGTAAGCGAGCGTCCTTGCCTTGTCTTGACTGTGTTTCTTTTTTTTTTTTTTTTTTTGCGTGAAACGTTTGGTGCCTTTTTACTCCGCATTTTGTGAAGCCGTGGCCTGCGACGTCCCACGATACAACGCGGTGCGCGTTGCATCGTGTTGCATTATGGGACGTCACATAATGACGCGCCTATTCAGTTTCTACGCTAAATTTAGCGGGGAAGCTGAATTGGTGTATAGGTCACACGACATCAGGCAGGTCACATGACGTCAATTTCCCCGCTAAAATTAGCGGGCAAATGAACGTCCCGTGACCTACACACCAATTCAGTTTCCCCGCTAAATTCAGTGGGGAAATGGACGTCACATGACCTCAAGTCACGTGATGCTAGAATTGTTTACGTATGCAATACAATAGGCCGATCTCACTAAGCGTTCCATGCATCCGTGACGCCAGCCATAACTATAATTGACAGGAGGCGGGCAGCAGTTCACGAGACGGCTGCTCGTGCCGTCTCGGGTTCTGGACGCGCAGAGCTCAAGCGAGGTTGTCGCACGTGCAGAAACACCAGAGTTCCCTGGATGCATCGCGGCAGTGGCGGCGTAGCGAATCCGGCTGGTGATATCGATATGCCCAGCCGTCTGCTATCCAATTTTTTAGACTGTCTTATATGAGACCGGCCGATGCCTTTTCGAGCAAGCCGGATGTTGTCAAAACCGAAGTCCCTGCGCAATGATATTGTGCAGTGTTTCTTTACACATAACGACAACTATACCCGTTGACAATTTAAGAAACACAAGGCTTGGTGAGTCACGAGCATACAATTACCTCTGCGCTACCAATGAAATCGTGGCATTTGGTTGAAAAGAACGCTCAAGATTGGAGGTTCGAAGCAAGTAACACGAGAAACCACGCCTCAGGTTTAAGGGTGGTGGTTAAAGACCCGTTCACACACTCGCAACCGAGTAGGACCGAGTGACACAAGTCCGGCTTTTAAGCCTCTTGCGATGGCGTAGAAGTGAATGCGCTGCAGCGGAGGTCTTGTCTCAGCCGGTCCCACTTGGTTGCGAGTGTGTGAACGGGCCCTAAGACGTACTTTAGTAGTCTTTAAGTTCAGATCTAGTCGTGCTTCACCTTTCATTGCCATAACCAGCGCTAGGGTAAGCCACATCAGGTGGGTCTTCTTTGCAGCCCAGCACCTAAGTTACTGAGCCTGTTTCGACGCACCCTACGACGAGGCTGAGATTGATAAATGCCAATCACTGCAGGAAAAAAACCGTCTAGAGTCACAGACAACTTAAGAAACAAGACACTCGGAACTCGCCAAGCAGTGCCTTTTTTAGTTGTCATCGACTAGCAGTACCAGCGTCGAAGCTCTCGTTACAAACTTGAAAGCTGCCCTCTTGTGATATTTTGCTATCTGGTGATTTTGATGTATCCTCGGTTGGTGATATATTGTTTCTTTGCCTTCTTGCTGTTCTTGATGATTTCTTGATGTTTTATGTTGCGTTATGTATCGTTCGCTTAAAGACAACTGAGTCTTCGAAATATATAAATTAAAAAATAAGAAAATTTCAGCAAAGCAATTATTCAAGCAATTAAAATCTCAGCAAAGCAATCTTATTATGAGATGAATAAAAAAACTTAAAAAGTCCTCCAGTGTCTCCCTCTAACACCGAACTTACAAATTCTTTCCCCTCCTAATTGATTGCAGCTAAGTAGTGCCTCCGACTCTCGATACGAAGTTCCGGTCCAGGAGACTTTTGATGTGCTGAGGAGACCCCAAAACATCAGCGACCCGAGATACGTCTTCGAGACGGGACTCACACCCAACGGTTACTTCAAGTTCAGCATACGACGAAAGGGCACGCACACAAACCTGTACGTTCGCACCAATGTTATGGGCAAACGTCGGCCCCTTTTCCACCTGCTTCTTTGTACGCGAACTATATTTCATTGGTGGTAGAACAGATGGCGGGACAATGGGTTTTATGTGTTAGGCTGAACAATGAGTTCGCAGATCTAGAATAGAATCTATATAGAGCCAGAAATGCACGCATTCCTGAAATAGAGTTACTAAGCTCGGATACTCGTGAATGTACCAGTAGAGAGCGTGGCCGCGCGCCGGTTGAGTGATTCCAGCGATTACCCGGTCAATAAAATGGCAGAGCCATTATGTTACTCAAGGCCAGAGTATAGCTTTACATGATTGCTGTATACGCCAGAGTAACTGTATATGCTCCTCAAGCGAGTTATACGCGGTTACCCAAGCGAGGCCATGCACTGCGCTGGCCTATTTCGTTTCGTTGAGCACTGTACATTACTCGTTACTGCGATTCAAAAGGAACGCGTTACGTCAGCTTGAAAGTAATGCGTTATTTTCACGTTACTTTTAATGTATCATTTTATCGCCGCTTCCAATATTTTTCGTAGTTAATCATTTCTTTATATTAACGCGTTCCTTCAGGGTTAACTGTAGCTATTAGCGCCGAGATATTTCGGTGGCGCCCTCTAATGGTTTCCATCTGTGACGTCACGACTGGGATTTGCCTCGCCGTGACGTTCACCAGTTGTTACCCTGGCTATTTACCACCAGGTGCGACGACGAGCTCGATGGTGTGTTTAAAAAGCACAGTGGAAGCTAGGAACCATCGCAACCGGAACTAACACCGTCAAAAGTGACAATCTGACAATGTTCATATGCCCATAGTCTGGTCAATCGTGGAAAGCTGACCGCAGCGACACTTCTGGTCGCACACATACTGACATAGCTTGTGTACATCTTTGTACTGTCATCTAGCGTTGTCTGGTCGGGCAAATTACAGGCGCAAGCTAGTGGTGAGGACTAGCTTAGGTACCACTTCTGTTGTGAACGCTACCCTCCAGAAGTAACTAAGTACCGTTACCCGTTATTTCACCCAAAAAGTAACGAAAAGTCGTTATTTGTGCCTTCTTTTAAAAAGTAACTAGGTCGTTACCTGGTTACCGAAAACAAATAACTGGGTAAAAATAACGCATTACTTGTAACGCGTAAGCAAGTCTGTCTATAATGGACAGCAATACATCGAAGACATTGATATACACGAAAGAGTGCCACTAGGTCACCCAAGTTTCGAAACTGTCCATTGACACTGCTTCCAAGCGCATATTTCCCTCTCCCCGAAGGTTAGCCTCCCGTAAAGTCCCTTGATAAAAATCACGCTTGACGTTTCTTATAAGTACCGCAAACCATTGTTCTTGGAACGCGCAATACACGTGCCACAAGCGAGTGCTCCACCGTCATTTGCTTCCAAGAGCTGCTCATTTTGGTGCAGTGCCGCCATTTGCTTTCAATGGCTGCTCCAGGAAAGCGCCTGGTGCAGTGGTGCATTTGACCATATCCTCCTTCATTTTAGGAAGTCTCTCAAAACGCGAAAAAGGTGGCCGCTGCAAAGGGACTCTCTGGTGCAGCGCCACCGTGGGCAGCGCTAAACAATGCCCCAGCGGTAAAATACAAAAACACAAAAGCGCTGTTTTGTTTTTTCTGGAAAGATTTTGCTTCGACCATCTTCTATTCCTCTCTTTTCACGTTTCTCAGCGCGTCGGTAGCCTTCTTTCTCTTTTCTCCGTTGCAGCTTATTGTTTCGCGGAGAGGCCGCCATGCGTATTGTTGGCGCTGGGTGAAGGGTTACCCCAGAAGTGGAACTGCGGTAACATATGGGTAGGGCAGAGCGCCACTTTCGGCGTACGTTCGGTGTTGCTCCTCGCCTTTTTCTTGCGGCCGCGCGCACAAGGGCTTCTTCGTAGAATTGACAGTCTTTCTAGAATAAAGGAGGCTATGATTTGACGCTACTTCACAAACGCATCAAGGGGCTTTAGCCTCCAGTCTTGCGAAGCGCCACGGGTTTGGAGACAGCTGTTATGGTAACCATAGTCAGTTGCAGGTCAAGACTTAAGAGTCCAAGACAAGCTCCTCTCACAAGGCTCTCCACTCTTTCCACTTTAGCAGAGCCAACACGGGAGAGCAGGGGGTGAAAGACTGGTCCTATTTCCAGCGTTCGCGCTGCTGAAGTGAGAAGAGTGGAGGGCTTTGTGAGAGGAGTTTACCCCGCACATTCAACCTGCAACAGACTATAGTAAATCCGTAACGATGATTTATTCTATAAAATAAATAGGCTTTGAAACACAGCGTTTAAACGGCGCTTCACCGTAACCGATCAGAAAGAATAGAGTTTTGAAGCACTGCCTCTAGATGGCACTTCAAACGACAACTGGCTTTCCGGCCATGTGAGGTAAAGACGGGGAGGGGGTTCGTTACTCAGCGGGACTTCTAAGCTTATTCATAATTAGCGATAGCTTAAGAAACCCAAGATCCGGTTCATTATGTTGACAGCGCGACACTTTCCGCAAACAAGCCACCACCGGTTTTGGCTGTCTTTTTTTATTATTAATTAATGGCTGTTAACGACGCAGGATCGACACCGGCATCGGAGGTCTAATCATGACGAACCAGTTCCTCCAGTTCGCAACGTACCTTCCTTCCGCGAATTTCTACGGATTCGGCGAACACGCTCACGATACGCTGCGCCACCACTTCAGATTCAACACGGTTGCCATGTTTGCCCGTGACGAATCGCCTAAAGTAAGGACATGGAGTTTCGAATTCTTTCGCTTAGCAGATTACCCATAGAGTAACCTACACAAGGTAAAGAGCGGACACTGCCGTAGGCTCCAGCGTCCCGTATAACAACTAGCGCGCCAAACGGTCGATGAGAAAAGCTTACTCTTGATTCCGGTTCCGGTGGTTTCAGTTTCGGTTTCGTTTCCGGCGCTTTTTTTGCCGAGCGTGCTGTCGCGCGGCTTCTCTTACTTGATGGCACAAATGCTTCTGATTATAGGCTTCACACCACGAAAGAGAAAAAATTATTGTCTTTACTGCTATGAAATATCAAGATTCTTGTCATACTGCTTCGTTTGTTTACGTGGTTACGAAGTATTTTCAGGCAACAACAAAAAGTGCTTCAGAATGATTTATTTTGAGGTCAATCATAAACAGATTTGGACAATTCAGAATCGCGAAGTATTCTTCATGAGGGCACACACATTCATCTCAAGAAGAAACGTTACAAGAGTCCCACATTTACCAACACTTCAAACCAGAAATTTCCAGTGATGCTAAACGGTTTGATTGAATTAATCATTGTTTCTCACAATGCTGAGCAGTTTCAGTAATGTGGACATCTGGCCATAGCTATCATTAACAAGTACTGTAAGCGACTTTATTGTTGTGAGCTCGACATTTAGCGATGTGCCAGTTTCGGGAATGTTTCGCGGGCACAAACTTTCACCACCGTGAGTGACATTGCATATATTCATGTCCATAGGGCAACTTATTCACGTTACCAATTTCTTGTGAACTTGATCAAATCGCGATATTTGCGAAAATTAGGTCCACGCGAAGATTAGGTCGTTTACGCTATTAGAGCACAGCCTAGACTGCACAGAATTCAAAGAAGCAGATTCAATGTCAATATACACTACACTATTTAGTAGCCTAACACTTCCCGTAGGCTAACAAAAAGGACCTCATACAAACCCAGGGAATAGTCAACGTTCCCATGCATATTCAACACAATGTGCGTACAGCAGAAAATATAGCAATGCTAGCACAGGGCCTGTGGGAAATTACAGCAAGAACAGGCAGCTAAGGTCAAACCACCTAACAGTGTTAGGGAATAAAAATATACAAGGCGCATTGATTAAAACATTAACATATCGGACATGTTCGGCATATACTCCACGCACGCACCCATCGAAGATCACTTTGCTACCAAATGTCCTCATCCCGTATATAAAAAAACTATGTCCTGCATTATAAAGTTGCAAAAAAGCCAGAAATATAATCGGCATGCAAACTGCACAACCCAATTAAAAATCATTCCTTCATAGGCGCCTGAAACACCCTACCATACTAAGCTTTGAACTTGTCGAGTTCAGCGCCAGCAACAGAAGAATGAAACCGAACTTTTTCCAAGTTTCGATTAATAAAGCGCACATGCCAGCACAACCGCACCCTGCAAAACATCTTCAAAAACCTCCGCTGACACTCCTCGAAGCATAAATGCAAAAAAAGCAATACGCGACAGATGGTGATACAAAACATCACAGACATTGCGCAGGTGTGCTATGCTTTCTATAACACACATACAGTGAGATTCCAGGCTGTGAGTGTAAGTGAAAGTAGCCTCCGAAGGCACAGTTTAGTTGCCGAACATCTTTCCTGGAATATGAGAGGCTTTAAGCATTATAAAATACTGGTGGGGCCAGTTCAAGTTGTCAGACCCTTCCCTCAGTGACCCAGAACAGAGACAACCCTGTGAACTTTTTTCCAGGAACAGCTTGATTAGAAATCCTGCAACATAATAGGTAGCAGAGTAGTCTATTATGTTAGAGTCTTTACTTGATGCAAGTTCCGAAATATTGTCCAATGAAGGGAGTCGTCCACGGGGGCACATTCCACGGCATCAGCGATTGAGGTTGTCTCTAGTGAAAACGGGGACATCTCCTGAAGGAGGTTAGTGTTGTCACCTTCAACATTTCCCTTTTCCGAGAGTTTTAGGAGCTTCCTAATCCCAATGTGCCTCAGTCCACAAGTAAACTGATACACATTAGGATTGGTGTGCAGCCGTGTTGTTGCCTCATCTGCCCGAAAATATTTTCGAGGGCATCCTGCTGCAGTCGCCGTGTCAAAAGAAAGCTGAAGTTATATTTCTCAGAATTATCCTCCCAGAGCATGAGGACGGCCCTGATAGTAACCTGCCACCCAGTGACTGTTTGTGGCTGCCGTCTACCCTCAAACTTCCAGGCTGCTACCCATGGAAGTTGGTTGCAAAGGAAATCACCGATTTCAGTGTCGCCCTTTCCAATCACATAGCGCAACTTTTGTTCAGAATTTTTTGGTCTCGAGCTGTTAAGATAGTCAAAAAGTTTGTCCATGCAGCATGCCGTGGACATGGCCGCCTCAGGGAGCTGTCTGGCATACACAAGAGCTAAAAGTGCAACGCATACTGATGAACTGAGGACCTGAGTCTCACGTTTCACCTTCATGTTACTGAAAGGTTTCTGGCAAATATGCCGGTCTGTCAGTTTCGGGGCTAATCGTAGTCGCATCTCGTGCGTGGAGTGGTAAGGTTGCACAATGTAGTTCCAGTCTACAGTTTCACTCCCGGTGTGAAGCTTGTGGGCTTGCAGGTTGTTACGGGTGGTCTTTATCAGGTGCGGGACATCAAGAATTAAATAGACACTTTCATTTCTTACTTTGAAGAATGGCTGCCCAACAGACACTCCAAGTTGATGCACCAAACTTACATTGGAGGCACCCTGGTCACAGACCACTGCTTTGATAGTAATGCCAATGTCCTTCAGCTGCTCAATCAATGACATAAGCAGGTTGCGAGTTACAAAAAATGGTGTTGACTTATGCCCAATAGTGTATGCTACAGGTTGCACCCACCTCCTAGAAACTCCATAGAGGAGGAAAACCTGGGCTCTGTCAGCAATACTGAAAGTTCGCTCAACACCATCATCTGCAAATCCGAGGACAACATCCTGCTCCACATCGTGTGACAAGTTCTTTTTCAATATCATCTCGTCAAACACTAAAGTACAAATGCGGTCGCGTTCATTCAATGACTTTGTTTTTGACGCAATCGATGACATGATGCCTGGAATGATACCTGGCGTCATTTTGACATTGGCGAGCCACCTTCGTAGTGAACGCCGAGATGGTAGCGTGAACACTGAAGACATAAATCGGTATGCCCGCGGTCCATGAAAATTCAGATGGAGCGCAAATTTCTTCAGCCACAGTGGAAATCGCTTCCCCTTGCCCTTCGACCTATTCTTTATATGCGATGATATGAGGTGAAATACCTCTTCAGAAACATGAGGCCGAATTATTTCCAGAGCTTGAGAAGCTGTCTGAGGCGTCTTCAGCTGCTGTTTCCGCAGTCTGGCTATCGTCTTTCTGTAGCTGGAAATTCTCGCCTGGAGTCGCTTGATAACGTCCTCGGGCCTTTTCGTGAGCTTGCGGCAAACAGGTGCAGGATGGTTTGGATCAGCTATAAAAATGGCAACAAGTCAGTGAGATTAAGAACAGTTGCAATAAGTGCGATACGATTTAACAAGTACAAGCACCACTAACCAGTAGCATACCAGGTAAGGTGTGGAGTGAAGTCTGAATTTTCTTTTTGTGCTTTACCATTTAAGCACTGTCAAAGCCAGTGAAACTTCTGACCACCAATTACGTTATTCTTTTACTAGTCATGTAAAATGTTCTGTACTAAATGTCTTCACGTAAAATCCTTGATAACCTTGCAAGTTCAAAAGGCTGAAATAGCATGAAAAACGCAAAACAGCCATGAAAAATTCTTGTGAAACCTCCGCTCGATATGTGTGTTCCATTTTCCCACACCTCCCCAGTTATTAGTAATACAAATGGTTAGACCGGTATGCCACACACACGAAGCAAAGACTATAGCTTATAAAGGGACCTAGAATTCTTTAAACTGATCCTTCTGGGACATATTGTATTATCTACTGGCTATAGAGGTTCACACAAATATGTTTCAAAGTGGCGAAAGCAAAATGGGACACTTACAGTGTTGACCTGGACCACAGTGGCCAGCGAAAAGACCAGAAGAGCTGGTTGCCTGACTTGGGTCTGGAAGATTGTGCATATTAGGCACAGGCTGGTGCTTTAAAATAACTATATTACCGAGTGCTGCAAAGTGCATTACTGCGGAGCGGCATGGGAGAGGTGAATTCTGCAGTCTGTCGGGCTCTGCCTGGTCTGGAAAGGTTTCATTATTAGACACAGAAGTGCACCATGACGAGATAACCTCTTACCAAGCACAGCACGGCTCGCTGCGACGGAGCTGCACTGGAGTGAAGGGCCAGAAGAGCTGGTTGCCTGAGTGGGACCTGGAAGAGTGCGCATATTAGGCACAAGCTGATGCTTTAAAATAACTCTATATTACCGAGCACTGCAGAGTGCATTACTGCGGAGCTGCATGGGAGTGGTGAATTCTGCAGTCTGTCGGGCTCTGCCTGGTCTGGAAAGGTTTCATTATTAGACACAGAAGTGCACCATGACGAGATAACCTCTTACCAAGGACAGCACGGCTCGCAGCGACGGAGCTGCACTGGAGTGAAGGGCCAGATGAGCTGGTTGCCTGAGTGGGACCTGGAAGAATGGGCTTATTAGCCTACATAGAGAAGTTACTTATACCTTTGTGTATATGAGGGAAACACATCATTACAATCACCTATCGCAGATGCCCAGTTTATGGGAGGACGAACAGTATGCACAGCTGATCGCACTAGGGTTGTTTGCCCTGGGTCCATAAAATCTTTTGCAGTGAAGTGATCACTGCAGACGCCGATAGGTGGCATAGAGTTGCGAAGCAGACTTTCCAAGAAGATCGTACCTCTTGGCATAGTCGAGCCAAGCCTTTGACCTGGAATATATATTATTTTCCAATGTGTTAAATGTACACTTTGGAACAAAATGTTAGATGCCAAACTGCAACCCTCTCTTCGACATTTTGGCTCCGCTTGCAAGCGATGGGGACATATTTTTATTTGGCAGGTTTGCTTTGGATGTCTCAACGCACACAGACAAATTTGGGCTTCTGCTCCAGAGTAGTGCAAAAGTAGCTCAACTGAGAAATCATGGTTTTTGCGTGAGAGGACGAACACAAGGAAGTACAACAAGCACAAGCGCGCTTGTGCTTGTTGTCCAACCTTGTGTTTGTCCTTTCGCACAAAAAACATGATTTCTAACGTTCACCAACTCGCCCAACAACAGGTCATTTTATAGCTAATCAACAGCAGGTGCACATTCACATTTCTTTAGGAAAAGACAGTATCAGTAGAGAGCAATATTCACCCCACCATGAAGCAGCGCTTTTATAACTCAAATTTAGAGCCACATTAAAAAAAAAAACGAAAATTCACCCCACCATGAAGCAGCACATTTATAACCCAAATTTAGAGCCACATTAAAAACGATACATTCAAGCTATGTATGAGAAAAATCAAGGGCTGCTCCTTTTCCTTAACAATTTTGTCTTATAAGATTAATTTGTCAGTTTTTATCTTCAGAGACAAGGTGGTAAGTCAGTACTAAAATTAGTATAACTGACCTGAGATCGCTTAGCCCAAATCCCCACATTACAGTTAAGGCGTCCAGTCAACTTTAGCTCTTGATTTAAAAGCGCATTCTAGTAATTAATTATATTGTGCAGAAAAATAAATTATTGGGATTTTTTTTTATATGCTCAAGTATGCAAATGGTTCCAAGGAACTATTGACAAGAAGGAGCTCACGCCAACCTACCTTGCGTCACGTGGGATTCGGAAAAATTTTTTGCCGGGTTTCTTCTGCGTTTTACCATTGTTTTCGCACCATGCGACACAGCAGTAGCTACTGTAGTAGCAACCGGAGGGCATCTGAGAAAGAAAAAAATGTAAGATATAAACACAAATATTTGTAGCTCTTAGTACGATAGCGCAGCCCATGTAACAATAATATCACACACGGGAAAAGCCGGCTGCTGTCTGAGGTTTATTTCGCAGCGTCTGTTGGACCTCTGAGCATGCAAATAACGGGTAAAACCAATGGACACGATACAGTTCGCTTTTTTCTCTTGCCCTTGTATACGCACGCTGTGTTTTGCTCGCGACTAAGCAATAACAAAGAAATGAGAAAACGTCTTACCTTCTGAAGAAACCTGTTAGGCGCAGACAATACCCATATTGTGCTCATATTCTGCTCGCTGTGCTCACATGTGCTCAACACAAAACGCGTTGACAGGTGTCAGGCACCATGCGGTCAAGCCGTCCACGCACGCGTCCGTCCGTCCGTCCGTCCCACTCCAGCCACTCCAGCCGCTTTCTCAGAGCAACTGCAGGAACCGGAACTCGCCCGTACATCACGTGATCTTCTTAACGTAGTAAACAAAAACTATTTCACCCTTTATGATACTTGCAACAATTTTAAATATAATAAAATTAAAACTTGAGTATTTATTTATAACAAACCTCACGAAATATTTTCATTCTTTGGCACACTGGCACCACTTAGCGGTCGGTGAGAAAACTAAACGCTCGGCCGCGAAACGGCTCGAGTGGCCACTCTTTCCCTTGTGTAGATTACTCTATGGATTACCTTCGCCCGATCAATGCACAGCCGACGCTTCGAGTTGATTGAACCAATCGAACAGCGTCAAAAACGCGCAAACACGCTGTTTGTCATGTTCCTGCTCGTGTTCAATCATCGCTGAAGCAACCAGTGACTTGCACTTTTGTCGCTGTTTGATTGGTCCAATCAGCTCGCAGAGTCAGCTGCATTATGACTATAAGGTGAAGCGAAGTATGTAACTCCAGTGAAGCATTTTAACACTCATTTTATGGTATAAAAAAAAGGCAATATTTTGGTTTTGGAGACTTGCATTCTTTCTCGTGTGCAAAAAAAAAAAAAAAAAAAAGGCCAGAGACATAATTAATTAAACTTAGTGAAGAATTGTTCCTCTGAAAATTGTGAAACAGATTGGGCAGCACATATATAACTTGAAACTAGCAAATAAAATAAAACTATTCGAAGACTTTTTTGCTTGTGTACAGTCGAAACCCGACACCGAGGTCTGTAAATTTGTATATCTTTCTTGGTAATCGTATTGGATTCATTCATTGTTCGATTTTTCCGCCAAGGAGTCTGCCAATTTATACGGCGTCCACCCGTTCTACATGTGCATCGAAGAAGGAGGCAAAGCACACGGACTCTTCATGCTCAACAGCAACGCCATGGGTTCGTTTACGTCCTCGCACTCGAGATCGCCTACCAGTAAATCTGCAACAGCCTTGTCTTGTCCCCGATGACAAAACCTTACCGCGATATTAACGGCTCCGGGAGATTGTTTGGGTTGCTTGAACTTGCATTCAGGTGTGCGTGTGGGTGGGTGTGCGTGTTTGCGTGTGTGTGTGTGTGTGTGTGTCGCGTGACCGCGTGACCGCGTCATGGGACGTCATATTGTCACGTGACGTCACGCACTTTTTTTTACGTTTAGCGGATATATTTTATAGTGTCCCGCGACATCCTGCCATCACATGACACTATGACGTGACAGGGTGATTTCACGAGACGTGATAGAATTACGTAACGTGACGTCATGACGTCAAAGGGCACTATGACGTCACATGACGTCGTGGTTAGCGTGCAGTGTGGTTTTGGGTGTGGTCCGCGTGCAGCGGAGTGTGAAGTGCCTCGGATATACCGCTGCAGCTCTTTCAACAGAATGAAACGGAAATTTTTTGTGACTAAGTTCACGCGCTAAAATTTCGCGGTCTCAACTCAGAAAAGTTAATGAATTTTTAAAAAGCAATCCAGAGCTTGAAAACAATAGACATTCATTCCGCAGACGAAGATTTACGACACAATAGTGTGTGCTTGAACTTTCCCCCTGCATCGTGGGCCTCTTCGCAGAATACACGTTGTTGCGAGCTCCCGCTCTGAGGCTGACCACCATAGGAGGGGTCCTGGACTTCTTCCTTTTTGTGGGCGACAGCCCGACTCATGTTGCACAACTCTACTCAGACGTAAGTAGTAGGGGCAGTGCTGTTCGCCTTGCACAGAATGCGTGTTACCACAAGGCAAACAAGCAACAAGCTCTGCTAATTCGGCGCTCGCTGACACGTATGATGCCCCATGTTAGCAACAGTTCTCATGCTTGCGCGTCACCAGAACATGTTTAGTGAACAACCAACACGGCCAATGATTGCTCGCAAATACGTTTTTATTTTTTTTATTTTTTTAATGCTGATGCAAGCGCATTAACAAGGCGTATTTGTCTCCGAATGACGGTTATTGAGTATTCAGTTCGTGGGACAAAGCGCTATTAGAGTCAGTTCGTAGTTTGTATTTTTTCCCACTTGATAGTAAATCTTTCTTCTCACTAATTTTAACTACTGAAGCGTTCTTTATCTGCGACTACGTGACTATCGTCAGATTAGGTTAAGAATGCGTTAGAAGTTCCTCCCGAACGCTCATCACCGGCAGCTACTGTTCTTACGTGAAGATGAAATAAATCCCTTACCAAGGCTATTCGCGACTCCAGCAAAACGGACGCCACCAAGCGGGAAAACCGGGAACCAGCCGGTCCAGGTCGCTCCGCGCTTCTCCGCGTCTCTGGTGGCTTTCGCGGACACGTGTTGTCGACGCGGTAGCGAACATTGTAATTCAACAAAGGTCCGAACATTTCTTAAGTTTCCCTGAGTGTTCATTAGTGTGGTGAAGCCTCAGATAGATTGCTTCTTTCCATCACGTGTTTGAAAGCCCGTTTACTCCACAACACACGGTCGCGTGCTTTCGATATCTTGGATAGGGAGGAATCACGGAAAAGCTTTTGATTTCTTGTCTGTCTTGAATCACATTCAAAGTGACGACTACTTGGTAACTGATAAGTGGTTCCTTTATAAGGATGTAGAACAGTGGACCATGGACGACAGACGAGGTGTTTCACTGGAGGGAACACCAATGTTGGAGTCAAGTGAATGGGAAGGTTCGATACCTGCTTTTCTTGAGTTTGGTTGTGCTCGATTAGCTTCAAGTTTGAGCCACCCACGCCGGCCTATGCGTTGGCTATTCATTTTGGCTGCTTTTCGCCGAAAAAGCCTCTTGACCACACTGAAGGAGTTGCGACTAATTTCGCAATTACTTGATTCAGAAAAACCTGCTCGCTGCCAATGATTAATGAGGGAAATTATCTGTTTTCAAAAGGTGGGGGACGCGTCTCGCAAAGTTAGAAGCTGCCACGGCATTAGGATCTATCACGCCTCCAATATTTATATTATACCCCCGTCGAAGCCAGCAGCAATATACGTCAGCATTGCTCAGGTTGACCTGCCACAAAAAATACTCATTTTATCCGTTCACGATTCGAAGTCAAGTTCAATGCAGAGATGTTCTGAGTGAATCTCCGATGGAGACTCTCTTCGATTAGTCCGCATTCGTCTCCGTGCTACCGGCTGAAACGATTTGGCTAAGTTTAAGCATAGTAATATACTTTTATTCAGCAGGTCACCTGATAGCTAGTCAACTAAGTTCATATTTCAGCCCGAAGAATATACTAAAATCGCTTTAGTGGAACATAGTACGTAATATAATACATAACTCGCTGGTCAAAATGACTTCTCGATTGCTACTAAAACCTGAATTTAAATACGAGTATCAGCTGCTTAGTGAAGCGCCAGCGGGTTAACATGCTCCTTGGCTCAAGAAGCGCTTGCTTAATTTTCAGACGACTTGAGCTGTTTCTTAAACGCGGATACGCACACAAACTCGATTTCTAGGACAGATAAGTCGCATGGTCGAGGCATGCGAGTTAGCTAAAAATTACTCTCGGTGGAACAATTCTGTAGCCATCGCCGCTTTCCTTAGATGATCAAAATTAATTAGAGTCTATTACCGTTTCTCCGGAGCCCATAGTTTCGGTTTTGAACGAAGTCTCCGGAACGAAAGTTTGACATGAAAAGAACAAAAAAAAAAAAAACACCGGCAAAACAAAACTATGCTCGGCAAATTTATGCGCACCGGCTACATTTAACCGTCTCAGTTCAAATGCCTATAAAATTGGGCATCAAACAAAAGAAAATTCGTTAAACTGAATGCGCCACCCGTTCAGGCGGCCCGGCCGAGCCGACGCGACCTGGACCCAGCCGCCATGTTTGTTTGGTGGTGGCGCCCCCTATAGGTCGCTGGAGTCGCGAGTTGTGCATCGATCAAGGGCGCAGACAGCTTGAAAACGTCACGCTGATGATATCATAACTCGTCATGACAATTCTTTCTTGGTTGGCCCGCGAAGCGATTCGATGCTGTGGCGGTACGTGGTAGTGTTTATATAGGTCCTTCTTGAGTTATATCTAGGATTCCGTCTTTCCGGAGTTTATTTGTTTTTTTGCGAAATTCGGAGGATGTTTCACGGAGTTGATTTTTCGCTGAAAATTCGTGGTTTATCGCAATGTGTTTTTCTTATATTCCCATTTTTTTAATACTTAGTTTGTTTTAATGTGTTGCCTAATTAAAAAAAAAAACGGTGTTTGGGTGTCATGATTTGCTCTCCTAAAGGAATTATGACGAGCAAAAAGGCAAACTTGTTTTGTCAGTTGTTTGAGATTTCAAAGAAAACTGAAGTGGCATCTCCTCAAGTCCACTAACATTGTGCTCTTATTAAAGCTTATTCGTAAAGCACCGTCTTTTTCTTTCTTTTTTGGGCTTTTAATATGTTTTATAGTGACCTTGAAATTCGAAGTTTCTCGTATAAATCCGAATTGACAGAAAGATTACCGGCGAGTGCTTTCCGGATATGTTTTCTGGTTTATCCGAAGACACAGACACCTACTTATATCCGACGATAGTAGAGATCACTAAGGACACCAGACCCACTTCGTTCACTCCTGGGCTGACAGTGCGATTGAAGCTACGTGCACGTTGAAGTAGTCGTACGTTTTTTTCTCGCCATATGATTACGCTCCCGCTCATACACACGCGGGGAGAGCGGGACCAGGTGATGAGAGAGACGCGGTTGATAGATTTGGCGATCATGCGGGAAGTGACGTCACCGGTGGCGTCAACCGTTACATTTTCCGTATTCATGGGAACGTAATCAAATTTAACAACGTTCAACTTCTAGAGAGCCGGACGCGCCCGGATTCCGAAGGAGCCAATCAGGGGAGGGCGGTTCATCTTCCTCGCCCTCCTCACAAAGTGTGCGCGGGAGTTCGAAGGAAGGGGGGGGGGGGGGGGGGGTTATTGCTTTTTGGGAACCCTGCTAGAGGACAAAGGGGAACTTAATTAAGAAGCAGTCGCTTTTGTTCTATTCTCCTCCTCGAAGTTACTCAAGGGTCCCGCAAAAGGGGCTAAACGTGGAGTAATGCAAGGGGCTTCAACTACTCCGCGTTTTTCCTATACCCGCTGCGGCCAGCACAACAAATAACCCCGTCGACCCATGACCCCCCTTCGCCTGTTGTCGTTCCGCTAGCTGCGTCGTCTAAACACTACCGCACACGTTCGAATCGCAAAGGGCTCCGGCAGTTATATAAAGAAAACCAGGACCCGTTTTGCGGTTCGGATGGGACCTCTTTTTAGGGGTGAACTGAGTATACTTAAAGTATACCAGGACCCTCGTGGACTGTTAGCCAGAGTTTCGCTGACAACCTTCTCCATGAGAAATTGACGTGAAGAAACAAAATCTGTCAGCGAAACGTCTGCTTCCAGTCTGGTGCTTAGAAGAGGTTATTTTTAGCTGTCCTAGCTGCTTCCGTCATCTCCGTACTTTGTTCGAAGATACAGTGACACTACGTTGTATGGTTCACCCGATGCGGGAAATACAATTAGAAAGCAAGAAGGTGATCGAGGCTGATAGGAAGAACTTCTAAATGAACATCCTGAAACCCTCAGGGCGAGGGCCTACACTGTTAGCAAAAATAACACGCCCAGACGTGTAAACCGTTGTCCCATAGCGGACACGTCGAAACGTGTTCGTTTTACACGAGGCCATCTGTGTTTTTCGTCTACACATGAGGTGCTGTGTAAACTTAACACGCTACACCGTGTCTGCCTTCCGCAAAACCGTTTCGAGCGTGTTCCTTATGAAACATGGCGGCCAGCGGCCGAGAACAGCCGAGAGACGAGCCCAGCGAGCCGCGCGCCTTTCAGCCGAATTGAAAGCACACAGGGCGCGTTAGTTCCCGTTCGATGTCTTTTATATACAGTAAAGTCTCCAAGCGGCGGACGTAGCTACTTGCAAAGGTACGTACGTGCGTTGTCGGCGGTCGGCGGCGTCAGTAGCTTCAACAAGCCGCTAAAAAAAAAAAAAAAAAAAAAAAAAGCGAATGCCGAACTTACATAGATAAATAACTGGAGCAAACTATTTAGAATCGGGCGGTAACTTGCGCCACCTATCGAGATTTCTAGCAGCCTGTTTAAAAAAAAAAAAAAAAGACGAGTATGTTAACACTGCGAACGACCACGACTACACAGCAACCCTACATACAACGCAGGCAACACAGCACACAGCTACACAGCACCGACATGTACACAAACACAACAACCGACACTACGCCCGACACTTCCTACTCGATATCCATTTCTCCAAGCGGCGCATATAAGCTTGACATGTGCAGGTGAGCTCTTTGGTCGCTGACCATTACAGATTTATAGAAGAATACACAAAACACGGCGCAATGGACAGCCGTGTGTTAGAACTGTTTGCATTTAAAAAGTATGGAGGCAAAATCTATAATGTTAGTCCGTTGCAATAAATAACGATATGTTAACAATAAATCTTAAACCGGTCATGAAAAAGTTCAAATTTTTGTTATTTTCTTGCTTTACCAGTGTTATGAGCAGTCCGACTAGCTTGAATCAGATAGGAAAACAAATTATTGGGATTTTGTCATTACGTATACAAAAATAAATGAAAATGATCATTGCGCAAAGCATTTTTTATATATTTTTGTGAAGGACATCCGGACATCCGCCCAACACTTCACTTCCGCTAGTTGCAGCGGTTGCAGCAGTGGGGTGAAGCTCTCGGCTA